GGCAATGCCTGCTTAATTAGGTGTTCCTGTTCCCCTGGTCCCCACCCCCCCCCACCATCTCCACAAACCAATATCAATCCTGACAAGGCTACTGATGAGGTTGTTTTTTGTAAGGTCTTGCTAGATTCCTCATCCATTTCCAAATATTGCCATAAAAAATAAAAATCCATTTTAGGGGACTGCTGATAGTGTAGAGAATCCTTATACCATCAAACGTTTTGTCTTATCAGACTACAGCCTCAAAAACTGTTTTAACACTAGAATATTTCAAATTCCCAAGGAAAGGGCATATAGATCACATACAACACTTTTCCACTTTGTTTCTTCAGCAAACAGCATGTTAAGTTATATCTCCCTACCGTTATAAATGCCCCAAAGTTATTCAAGTTAAGAGCTATGGCTGCTAGTAAGATCTTTTGGATTTTCAGAAAGGAGCTTATTTTATATACATTCAAGCCCCTGAGAGCCACAAGATTTAGATATAGGGTATGCAATGCAACAGAATTCCCCCAGCAACAGTAATTTTATTCAGAAGCTGACCAAACCTAGCCACAGCTTCCAAAATGGTAGCGATACTATGACTTGACAAACAATGAATAGTTCTATTCCAGTGACTTGAACCCCAGCACGATGGAAAGTTTAATGTACTAAGGAATGGCAGACTCTGAGGTTGGCTGATGGAAGGTCTTAAAGAACAAGTCAGACAGTCTTCTCATACAACAGTGACATTCTTAAAAATGACTTGAAGATAACCTCTTGGGGTTCCTTCCAGACATTTAAAAAATTATTTAATCTGCATGTTAGATGCAGTCCTAATGATCTACCTACACCTTTCCCCAACATATTGCTACAAACACGGCAGCATAAAGTAGAAAGTTCTGCTTCTGAGACAGTGGGCTTGTCCAAGGTATCACCCTGCTATGGTACTGTCAAACCAGATCAGTACTTCAATTAGCTCTTGAGAATTTGAAACACCTCTCTCCCTCCACTGCCTTCACATAAAACTTCGTATGTGGGTAGTTCCCAGAGGAAGCTTGCTTCCTCAGAAGCTTTGAAACCATTTGATTCTGACACACTGCTATCCCCAGTGAACAAGAACTGGTTAGCTGCTTGGAGCTATAGCAAGGATGTCTGGGAGCGTTACTTGAAGGTTAGAATTGGCTTTCTACTACTTCTCAGAAGACATGAAAAGGACAAAGAGCCAGTAGTTTAGGACTAAGAGCAACACCTTTAGTTTTCTTCCTCCTGTAGTCACTGCAAATGTAGTGTAACAGTTAAGTTTTCCATAAGAAAGGAAAATACAGTTAGTGTTACCTGTGTGTCCAATAAATGCATAATCAGCATAACAATTCTTGCTTTAATAATAGAAAAAACAAATTGGTCCATTAGCTTTATAATTAATAACTGAGCTTCTGAGGAGAAAAGCAGCATCTTATCTCCAGACCAATGAAAGAACTATTTCTTAACTTGTCTTTACAGTGTCTATTCTGAACTCTTATGCTGAAAAGGGTGATAAAGAACAGAATTAGAATTATTTCAAGTCATCCTAACACCCTGTGCTAACCTTGGAAGCTTTCCCTCAACAATGTATATGAAGGACAAAGTTTGACACGTCACATCCAGTGCATCAGCTAGATTTCAATGGATTATTAAAAGCTTTGTAGCCCAGATGTCATAACTACACGCCTAAAAAATCCTAATACTCTACTCTTTCTTTTTATGACCTTAAATATTCCATGACATTTCAAATGCAGGTCTGTGTAAAGCCATCAAAAGTGCTGGAACATGTCCAAAGAAGAGCAACAAAGCTCGTGAAGGGTCTAGAGAACAAGTCCTGTGAGGAGCTGCTGAGGGAACTAGGGTTGTTTAGTCTGCAGAAAAAAAGGCTGAGGGGAGACCTTATCACTCTCTACAACTACCTGAAAGGAGGCTGTAGCGAGGTAGGTATCAGTCTCTTCTCCCAAGGAACAGGCGATAGGACAAGAGGAAATGGCCTCAAGTTTCACCAGGAGAGGTTTAGATTAGATATTAGGAAATTTCTTCACCAAAAAGGTTATCAATCATTGGAACAGGCTGCCCAGGGAAGTGGTGGAATCACCATCCCTGGAGGTATTTAGAAGATGTGTAGTCATGTCACTTAGGGACACTTACGGTTGGACTTGATTTTAAGGGTCTTTTGCAAGCTAAATAATTCTGTGATTCTATCAGTTCGGTGATTCCCAGATAAACCATGAGCTATAATAAACTATTCCAAAGTCATTTGTATTTTAGACAGTGTCATCACAGCATTCAACTTCAATGTGTGATAAGCATTAGCTTAGAACTCCAAAACAGTCCTTTCGGATGAATAACAAGAGTAACAAACTGTGCTTTCTCATAGGAAAGCCTTGTTGAAAGTTACCTGAAATTCCATAAAACAAATTGCTGCTTTTTAAGGGACAACAGTTGGTGTAATGGCTTCAACTATTAGTATCATCTGCAGAAAACGGTATTAGTCATGTGAAATGTACATTAAAAACTTCTGTAGAGACTGAAATGAAAAAAGCCAATGTAGGTTCCCCCAGTACTTTTCAATTCAAGCTCTTACAAGTGTAAACTGTTTCTAATATGACCTTAGAAAAAGCTTGGCTGCATTTCACTGTGCAACTGCATGATCACCAGTATCAACAACAGAAAGAACAGGTTTGCGGCAGACCAGGCTACTTCAGCTTAAGATCAAGTGGCCACTCTAATCATTATAGTCAGTTTAAAGAGCTTAGAATCTTCAATCAGTGTCTCTACTATTTATATGGATTTATTATCCTCTGAAAGTGAATTATGCCCAAATCTTGGAGGCCACCTTGACTAAGCTAACCTTTTCCATACTTGGTACTTTTATTAAGGTACTTTTTTTTGCATTTTAATGTCTGATTAATGTCTCCTCTCAATAGCTCAAAAGTCTCACATGAAAGGTTTACAAATATCCCCACAATCCACATACTGTAGAAGGCAGTACAGAATGTTAGCTTTAAACAAATCAATTTCCAAATCAACAGCTGCATCTAAAAATGCTGTTTAAAAATATGTTAATGAAGTTGTTAACTTCTAGTCCAACAGCTTAAGGGATATTCTATGATAGACACCACATATGCACAAGATCAACTAACAGGGTAAATGAAGGCAGCTGAAAGTAGGTGTATGTAAAATAATGAAGCTTCTTAGCAGTAATTACAACTGTAGTATTTACAAAAACAACAAAAAGCATCTTTGAAGAAAAAAATCTTAAATACGTTGGTCCATTTTCATTTGCAGTTCCACTATTTACATACACTAACATCAGACATTCAGTATTTGTCCTGTATTTCATTGTTACTCCAAATGTACGTAACTCCAAATGTAACTAGGAAGAACATTAAACAGTAAGAGTTAAAGTCAGTAATTTTTGCAAATTTCAATAAGGGTTGAACTACTTGATCTCCTAGGTATCTGCTATCAAAGAACCTAAGAAACCACACTATGTTACAAACAAGGTGTGACAGCAGAAGTTCAAACAAGGGTCTTAAGACAACTGTATTAAGAGAAAGAACTACCTCTTAATATAAGATCTGCCTCAAACAGAATAAGCTGATGAGCAAAGCTCTAGTTCGTAAATATTTCATCAGCTAGCCCGTGTGAACAGAAGCAAGCAGGTGGGGTACAACGTTTAGCTCTGCATGAAGAAATCTGAAAATACAAGCTTTCCCAAACTATCCAGTTGCACAGTAACATTTTTCTAACCTCATCTCCTAATCCAAGTTCACTTTCTTACAACATTCTGCACATCTTTGTAAGATTGTCTTATCTTTACAATTAACATAACCAATTCCATTCAAATTGTACCAACTATAGAGGTGAATACATTCTTATAAGCTGCATTTAGGAAGCACCTTAATGCCCTTGCTGACAAAGACTACAATGAATGCACAACCCTTATTAGTTGGCAGACAATGTGTGAACTCAACTTTTGAGACACCTCATTATTTGAGCAACTTATTTAGAACGCAAAACACTTCAAAACAGAAATGGAAAGAAATACAACACGGGAAAAAGGATATCTTTTTTTGGTAACATGTCTATAATGATCCTAAATGAAGTCCTCACAACAAATTTAAGCAAGTCAGATGCACCATTTGAATCCTAAATTAACAATCACAGCATTTCTTCACAGAAAGGCATAACTAACATTAGACAGATTCAGAGAAGTGAAGAAAAGTGAAATTCATGCAGTGTTAAGGCAGTTAAGGAAAACCATTTTATCTTAGAAGTGGCATATGAAAACATTAGACAGCATAAAATCCTCTAGCCAAATGATTTAAGCGGTTCCATATACTGAAAATGCCCTGTTAACCTCCTCTTTTCAAAGTGAGGTGTAACAAGAAGGAGCATATATGAATGAAGATAAAACACTGCTTGAATTATCTACTGCTTTGTAAAACGGATCACCTTTGTAATATGAATCAAAGAGAGAACAGATACAGATTAAGCTTATTCTCCCCAGGACAAAATTTACAAGCTCTATAACAGAGAAAGCTTATCTTCCTACTTTTACTTCCCCTCACGCTGCCAGCCCAGATGGATTTTCAGTCATCTGGCAAAAGCAGAGGGAAACCACACCTCTGAGCAACTTCACAGTGGAGATTCCATCACATGAAACACTTAAGCAGCTGCCAAAGCTAAATCCCACTCCTCCCTGTCTGCTAAAGGAATGCATTTTTTTTTCTTGCCTGCTTTGCTGTTAATTTTTCTCTACTGGAGCTCACAATACTCTTAGTGGTCACTATTACTTTTGATACAGTGCGAAAGGCCTGGAACTTTCTCCTTCACTTATCTTGTCCATAATCAGGGCACCCTCTCTGGTTTAGCAACATAAACAGCATTTGCTTAATGTTCTGAACTTCCCTGGACCTTCATAATCTTATTAAAAAAAATCATAGTAATACGCTTTGCTAATAGATAGCGTGTTCTAAACATTTGTATCTCACCTTTGACAGAAGCAATTTCACACAGGAAACATGGCCCTCATAGACTGCTGATAGGAGTGGTGTGATATTATGTTTGTCTGGAGCCTGTAAATTGAGACACAGTTATTTGAAGCACAATTTCACACAGCATTAAAAGGTTTCACTTAACTTTTTAATTTTGTTTTGTCAACAGTAGAGTGAAGGTAAAGATTTAAGAATATTATCTAGAAATGCATTCTCTTAGAATTTTTTTACTCTCCTTTTTATAAAGAAAGGTCATTGTTTAAAAAACAATCACTTAACAGCAAGATATGTCTTCCGTAAGACTTCTGGGTATCCCCAAGTTTGTCTATTTTGTTAGGCCAATGATAGAAATTGCAGGGCTTCAGTTGATGAATTTTGCCCAATTTAAAAACAGTACTCCTAATTCTCCCATTTCTCAGTCAGCCTGAATTCAGAAACCAGTTTTGGCTGAAACATTGTTTGGGCTGTCTTTTCCTCTCTAAACTATGGTCCTGGAAAGTATAAGAAATGGAGCAAATAAAATGTTCTTATTTCTTCCTCCTCTCCATTTAGAACTCCTGAGGAAGAGATAATCTTCACAGACATCAAGAAAAAAATCCAAGCCAGTTTATTAAGGACTAAAGCTAAGATGTGTTGTACCTAAACTTTCAGACAGTACTCTAAAGCACAGCATATGGGAGTACGCTTAAAGTATTTAGAAAATTTTCTTTGTGGAGAACTACACTATTTTGAAGTGTGAATACAGCCCTGCCAAGCCTTTTCACGACAAAAAGCCATGCATTCCAAGCTACAGCAAAATTACTAAGTTTGTACAAGTAAAAATGTCTCCCAAAGAGAGAGGAGCACAACAAGTTAAACAGAATTGATCCTGCGCTGGCCAAGGATGCATTGCACTGTCTTCTGAAGTCCCTTCCAATAAATGCAGTATGTATTTCATGCAAACTTACTTTAAATGTGATGATGGGATTTATTTTTCTAATCATGGTAAAATTAAATTTAACTTTTTATAGCTACAAACAACTTTTCCTAGTATGTCCAAAAAGAATAAAAACATTTAATAAACATAATTTTGAGTGTCTAATCCCTAGGAGACCACTTCTCAAATATTTTTAAACACATCAAATTGTTTAGTTTGATTTAAGTCTTCCAGTAACTATTTAGGCACTTATACCAATCCCTTATATGTGTATGTGGGTGGAAAGGCCAACACCCTTAATATCTGTTTACAAATTGATGTACATACATTAATATCAGCTCCTTTCAATAGCAGAAATTCCAGAATCTCAAGCTGTCCACAGTCTGCTGCATAGTGAAGAGGCTTCCTCCCACCTTCAAGTGTCCGATTGACATCTTCACCCTTCAATGTAAACATAATCTAATAAGCAAAATTTTAGAGCTAACACACCAAGAGGAGCTTGAAAAAATCCAACACCTTCATACATGCTGCAGAATGTTCCATCCAAATACTTAAGTAATTGCCCAAGGAAAATGAAAATTAAGTTGCTCAATTTCCTTACCCTCATCTATGCATTTAAGACTGTAAGACACCACCTCGATCCCTCCTTCCACACTGCATCTCAAGTGTAGTAAGTACCCAAGTGCACTAGGTAACTCATGTGATTATAAAAATAATTTAAAAAAAAAAACAACGTTAGAGCTTGTAAAAAATATTCACATTGTCTAATTTTGCTTCTCCTTGCTCCCAGCTGGGATCCTAGTTTTCTGGCTGAGTTATTTTACCTGCTTTTACACATATTGAAAGTTTCACACACTGAGAAATCAGACACCTAGAAATAAGTCAGCATCATAACTATTAGCAAGTGAGTGCAAACCATAACTTAAAACCCAATTACGAAACTGTCCATTCTGTTTTATAAATAGCACCTGCCAATTCTACATGACATAAAAAAGTCTAAAGACAGTCAAGCAAATCAGGACACAGGAAGTTGTATTCTAATGCCCCTAGTACTAGTGGATTGAGACATCTTTTAAGGCGTAAACAAAATTTAATTTACTGAGTGCCTAATCAGCTTTGTTTCTTCACCTTGGGTTGTGCAACTAAGGATAAACTGATTTGCTGCACTTCAGTAACGACAAGAAGTTACTGGAAACCAAATACTGACAAGCTATGTGGTAAGTGACGTCTTGTTTGTGTGTGCAAATAATGTTGTATTTTAGAGTGGCTAAATTTAGCATCATACCTCAAGTCCTGCACCTCCACAGAAAAACAAGTCAAAACAATTTCAGCTGCAGCACCAATTCATACTTCTCTACTGAGCCCCTGCGGTTCCCTCATGCCTGCCCCAAATCCCTAGAAGGGCTTGACATATATCTTTCAGATATCACCTCCCTTCTAAGAACAGAAGAGGAGATTGTCAGAAGGAAATCTTATTCTGCATTTGATGTTCTATATTATTAATGTTTTCTGCTACTGGCCAAATAACAAGATGACCTCAGAATTCTCCTCTCCTATCAATAAAATATTCTATTCTTCTCCTAATACACCTTCCTGAAAGTCAAAGCAACACAACAGTGTTTAACTTCTGGTGTTTAACTAAAACACTGTACATTCTGTGGTCTCAAAGGTCAGGAACCTGGTTCTCACACTATTGAAGGTTCTGGCTTCAAAGTAGCATGAAGTAGCAGCAAGTAGCACAATGAAAAAATCCTGCAACTGCTGTTACTGACCCTGAGATATGGCTATGGCTTCTGAAGCATGTTGGACAGGAAAAAAATATAGCTTTACATTTATCTATGTTTTTCAGAACAGCAACAAATTGTACTTCTAAACCAAGTCCACCACAGCTTTAGCTATGTGGACTCTCAACATCGTACAATAGTTTATAATGTAAACTTTCACTATTACTAACTGTAGGTCTAACTTTATCTGCAACAACTGTCCTGTTAAACAGTATTGTGACGTAACTTCTCTTCTCTTTTGCTGAATTTCAGTACAAAAAGTTGGTGGGGATATGTTAACAACTATGTTCCAATAAAAAAAATAATCATCCAGATCACAGTACCCTAACAGCATACAAACAGCCACGCTGGTCTGAAAAGTGTGGAAGGAAGCAGCATATACTTGGCTTATCTAGGAACTTAAGTTCTACCCATATTCTTATTTGCACCTTGCTACTTCCTGTCAATTTAAAAAACAGCTGGCATTTAAATAACACGTGATGTTTGCAGATACATAAGGATTGGGATGCATAAGTTTAGGAAGCAAACCATGCAAAAGCCATGCAGTCACTACCCCAAAACAGTCTTTAAAAACTCCTGTAACGTCTGATGCATGTTAAGACATGGTAAATAAGGGCGTAAGGGAGAAGGACAAGCAAGCTAAGTCCTGGGACAGCACACAGTAAAGTTACAAAGTTCACATCCAAAAAGAAACTTAGAATCATCACATCTTAAGGTTAGGACAAAGCTCCCCTTCCTTAAGCTTATAAATATTATTTGGCTTATTGGCTTACACTGTAGGATTTTTTTTTTTTCTTTTTAAAGAATAAATCACAGATCACCCTGTTGTCTCCT